CCTCGCTTTCACTCTCGACGCCAACGCCGATACCAGGGCTTTGATCACCCACGGCTCCGAGAGAATCTCTGCCTGCCTCTCGAATGCCCTTTTCGGTGACGAAGCGCGTTTTCTTGACGGGCGAGAGACGCACATCTGCGGCGGTGCGCTTTCTGTTTTCATTTGTCGTGGTGTTCGTGCTGGTCAAGATACTTCCGGAAATGGGACCAGAGCGCCGGGTGTCCGTCTCGCCCAGGGCTACCGTCTTTGTATTCCGCTTTTCCCTCGTTGGATCGTCGTCCTTCGCCCTCGCCTTCTGCCGCATGTACTCTGCACCGGCGCTCTCAAAACCAAACCCGCCGTGCTCTCTCGAACCGAGCTTCTCCGCGATCTCGCGTTCTTTCGCCAGCGCGGCGAGGCGTTTCCTCACGCGGCTGTCGCGATCGCTGGGCCGAGACAGCTGACCGTCTTGACCGGGCAGAAAGGGATCGTCGTTGTCCAGAAGATGTGGGCCGAAGCCTGCGCGATAAGCATGCCCGCTACTTTTGGGTCCCGTGCTTGCGACGTAGTAGTGACTTTCTGTCGTTCTGTCATATCGTCGTCCGTCCCGTTTTAGCATGGCTCCTTTCCCGCCATTTATATCCCGAGTCTTGGGTCGATTCTTCCACTCCCCGAAACCATTTGTGCCAGTGTTGACACCCATTCTTTTCGCTTTCGTCCTACTGATTTCTGCGTTGAGATGCCATTCGCATATCTCGGTCTTCGCTGCGTTCACCCAGCTTCCACATTCTTTCCCGTCCTTTTTAAGAGTTTTGCAGTATCCCAAGTCTCGAGCTGTGCCAATTTCCAAGATGGTATCGGAATCATCGGCCAGGGATAGAGAAAATGCACCCGTGTCAGCTTTCCCTGATTTCGGCGGGAGAATACACGGGTTGAGGATTGCCACGACAGTCCCAGGTGTGAGCCGGTGGTAGCGAGGGAGAGCAGTACTGAACAGGTACAAATCGATGGTCCACTGCAGATCGGTGAGAGTCAAAGCCATGAAGCGGCGATGATTTCGCGAGCCGTCCTCCCACTGGCGTTCCCAGTCTTTGGTCCCAACCGTGCCACTGTCGGAATTAGGGGTCTTGTGGTCCATAGGAGAGGACTTGGAAGCAATCACCGCAAAAACAACAAAGTCGCATACAGACTCTGGTAACTCATATGCTGGAGACTTGACAACCTTGAGAAGGTCCGGGACACGTAGGATGGTATACTGTTCGGTGGGAAGGGTGCGTTTCAGGAACGAGTGCGGCAGGATTCGTGATGACAAGTGTAGCCCTGAAAAGCCCTCGTAAAGAGCCGCGTCTCCCGCGTGGATATCTGGCTGTGTATTGTCCCTAGAGGGTGATGTTCTGAGATTGGGCATGGTTCGGCTCTTCTTAAGTTGCCGACTGCCAGCATTTGCTTCCGAAGTGGCCTGGAGGACTTCGTTACGACTGTATTCGAAATATTGTCTGGTAGGTGACTTTGAAGCTTCTTGCTTGCGTCTCTCCTCTGCGGCTGATCTGTACCGGTCGATTTCTGTTTGATCGAGGGCAAATCCTCTACTGCGGTTTTGCATTATCGTAGCGCGACGTTGTTCGATGGTCGTCTCCCGCTGGCGTACTTCTGTCATTCGCTCGCTGAATGTCTTTCTGGGCTCGCTCTGCAGGGTAGACCTGAACGAGGTGGCTGATCTCGCCGAATTGAACGCCGAAGATCGGGAGTGTGGTCTGTCATTGTCATTGCCAGGAAGTGAACTGTTTGTTCCCCTCGAACGATGACCATTGTTGGTAGTATTGGCTCTGCGTAGTGACACGTCCGCGCCCCGGACACCCTTGTCGATCCCTAGGAGAACTCTGGTGGGCGACTTTGCCGGCGGCACTTGAATTCGTTTGTTTGGAGAAGCTTTCACCTCAACTTGTGAAGCAGATGGTTGATGCGCAGACTCCGGGCGGTCCAAGTCTCTGGCAGGAGGTGCTGCTCTGGCTTTGCTCTGTTGTAATTTTTTCAACTTCAACTTCGCTTCAATCGCAGCTAACTGGAGCCGTAGTGTCTCTTCGTCTTCATCTTGTTCCTCGTCCTCTGCGCTTCCACCTTCAGACCTGAAGTCGTTGTTCGTGCGTGCCGCTCGCAGTCTGTCCATGAGACTAGGGGTGGTTGCGGACCGTTTCATCGGGGATGTGCCGCTTTTGTAAGTATCATACTTCTTGCGGCCGCTTGGAGAGCTCATGAGCGCAGCGTGAGGCGATACAGGAGGCCAAGCGATGTCTGAGGACATTTTATGGGCGAACGTAAGCGATATGGAAGGCGGACAATAGGCGTTGAGGCTCGGGGTTTGTGTACGTTGACGAGAGAGCCAATGGCAAAGTCTGGATAGCTTCGAATTTGGGTGTCTCCAAACATCAATACACTTGACAAGGCCATGGAATCTGACATTACACAAAGCGCCGAGTACCGACCGCCTGTTTTAAAAGAGTATCAGGTACAAGGGAGGCACACATGCACGCAGGACACATTTGGGAGTGCGGAGTGAACATGTACTCCGATTGGCTGCCGAAGACGCGCCTGGTAACGCGGTATGAATATCCACCAGGCGAGATAGAGGGGGATCTCCTGGCGTGCATGGCCATGCCCTCTGTATTCCACGTTCCCATTTCCAGAGCTGATTATGTGCCATATCTCTGCCCGCACTATAGGAGAGAGATATATACCCCAACTTTGCCGATATGGCGATAGTAACTCGTTCAAGCTCAAGTAGCCCCACGAAGAAACCCTCCGCAACCACAGCAGCGACGTCCACCAATCCACAACCCTTGAAGCATTTCATCCTCCCGAAGAATATATCCCAAAAAGCGCGCTTCCTTATCCTGCGACATCCCTGCGACAATAGTCCCCAAAGATTTCTGATCTGCCCTGAACATGGGCTGTTCCACTTCAACAGAATATCCGCGCCCACGACAGACCCTCGAAGCCTCCTTTTCGCTCCGTGTGATCGGGAAACCCTTCATTCTGACTCGACAAAATCAGAAGATGAGAATCAAGCTGTGCGCTGCTTGAGTAGTGGCTACGTTAGCAAAAGTGCAGACTTCTATGTGGCAGCACCATTCGATGTCGCCTTCATACTTATCCCTCTGATCTTACCAGCGAAGACAACTACGGCAAAAGCATTGTTTCAACCGATCGATGATCTCTTCGAACAGCGTGTACAAGATGATAAAGGACTACGCTATCTTTTAGAACACGGACGATCTATGGTGGAGAAGGCCATGTCGGTACTTTGCGACACCATCGAAGCGGGAGGCGAGGAGATGTACAGGCCCAGTGAAGAAAAGATGGTGCGAACGATCGTCCAGAAGGTGAAGAACGCCGTCGACAGAGGTTTACCAGATAGCCTGCTGGATAAATTCGTGAAAAGAGCCTTGGAAGCACCTATACTCAGTATCAAGCGAGAAGACACGCTCACAGTCACACAGGAAGTGCCCTTAGCGACCGACGATGATGATCGTGCACTTGATAGTTTGGACTCGCAATCTTCAGCTGCGAGCACAACACAATCTACAATTTTTTCGGAAATCTCGACGACGAGCTCGATTAGCACTGCTACATGTGAGCCAACGTCAAAGGAGCTGTTCGAGCTGCAGAAACAGCACGTCGTTTTGGACTTCATGCTTGCTTCATACCTACCAGAGCCAATTTCTGAGCGCTTGAGAGCTCGATTCAAGTCACGGGATCCGCTCATTGACTTTACTCCCCTGGAAGATCATCTCAGACACTTGGACAGTATGAAAGCCGAGGCGCTAGCATCAAGATCGATTACGGATTTCAGCCGAAAGCGTGAATTGGAAGATGATGAAGCGCTGGAGATGAGAGTGGAGAAAAAGCGGAAGCAGGAGGAAGAAGAGAGGAAAAAGAAGCTGGGAGAATCAAAGGGAGTGCGCGAGCTAAAGAAAGTCAATGTGTCAGGGATGAAGAAGATGAGTGACTTCTTCGCGAAGAAACCTGCTGCAGCGGTCCCTTGATGCCTGAAAATATGGTGGAAAGGGTAGCAAGATTGCACTGATTGCCTGAGCCGGCGCCAGATGTCCATGTCGCCACGTTCTTGCGTCGAAACTGACCAAAGCGTTGACTGAGCCAAGACAAGCAGACGGTTGTTGGTTGGCACTAGCTGAATAGCAGAGGTGTGATTAGGCAAAATGGTAAGTCCGTCTGCCCGGAGCAACATTCGCAACCACCTATATGAAGCAGTTCTCACTGTCCTCGAATAGGAACTCTGCAGGCACACCCTTCCCCACCTTTTGAACTTGAGGAGAGAAGGACTTGTTCCTGGTCGGATGAAGGAGATGGTGGTGATCTCGGAAGGCTGCGCTGCGCTCTCGGCCGAGATTCTCGAAGGGAAGATGGACGCAGGCGAGGAGAATGACAAGGATACGATTACTATTTGCTGCAGCCAGATATCAATCAGAGACAGAGGCAGAGACGATGACGAGGAGGTGCAGAAGAGAAAAATGGGAGAATTGAGGTGCGCGACTCGGCACCGAATCCCTGTCCGTCGTCCGGATTCGGAACATTTCAGTCCCGATACAGACCAAAACAAGCCTCATCATATCGTCATGAGACGCAGGCTAGTCGAACTACATTTCGCGATTCCTCCACTCATCAAGCTTCTTGCCTGCGTATTCGCGACAACAAACGTAATCTAGCTGCATGCTGCTGCTCCTCCACCAAAGCTTCCACCATGGCTCCTGCAGCATCCGTCCCGCAGTACATCGATATTGCCCTCCTGGGACTTCCCGCTACTCGATGGAGCACGTCCCAAGTACGTGTCCATGACTTTACCGCTGAGCCGAATTGACATGGATCCTCTAGATTCGCATGCTCTTCATGCGAGCTCGTATCACACCATGCCTTTCCTATTCATATGAGCTATTTTCACAACACGGCATCCTCTGCCTTGCCTATTCATACTTCTTCAATATCGCTATGACCCTTCGTCAGCCATGGACGACCGGCCGACTCCAGATGTGCCAGGTCGCTTTCGTACCCAATCAACAATCTCGTCAATGAGGGAGCATATTCTCACCGGCCGTGACGAACACGACAGCGACCAACGTACTACGCCAGGTGCCACTGTAATGGGACATCGAAACAATGATACCGCTTCCTCTGAAGAGACAGCCGTCGCCCCCAACTCGCCGGGAGAGGCATCGTACCAAGCAGCCGCAAGCCGCCATAGCGACCCTCGAAGCATGTCGTCCGCGTCATCGGCTACTGATACATCAGATGATTCCGCGGCAGGAAGAACCGACTCCAGATTCGAACCGCTGAGGGCAGCCCCTACAGCTGAAGACAAGCGGCCCCGACTTGAGCGAAGTATTCAATCCGAGGACGATTTGTTCAATGTCTTGTCTCGTAGGCGAACAAGTGCTTCTGGCAAGTCTGAGGCCCAGCTTCAAGAGGAAAATGACGAAATAGAGCGACTCATGTCTCGAATGTTCGGCCAGGCTCGACAGGAACACAGTGAAGAAGAGAAAACCCGTCACAGCGGAGTCATATTCCGTGGGTTGACCGTGAAAGGGGTTGGGTTGGGCGCCAGTCTCCAGCCAACTGTCGGCGATATTTTCCTTGGCCTGCCGCGGATGCTCAAAACTCTCTTTACCAAAGGTGCAAAAGCAGCCCTTGGTAAGCCCCCTGTGCGAGAACTACTGAGTAATCTGGATGGTTGTGTTAGACCTGGGGAAATGCTGCTGGTCCTTGGAAGGCCGGGTTCGGGCTGTTCGACCTTTCTCAAAGCCTTCTGCAACCAGCGAGAGGGATTTGAGGCGGTACAGGGAGAGGTTACCTATGGTGGCATCGACGCAAAGACCATGAAAAGAGATTTTCGGGGAGAAGTCATCTACAACCCCGAAGACGACCTTCATTATCCCACATTGACAGTCAAGCACACTCTCATGTTTGCCCTGAAGACTCGAACTCCCGGCAAAGAGTCGAGATTAGAAGGGGAATCTCGTGCAGATTACAAGAGAGAGTTTTTACGGGTAGTAACCAAACTGTTCTGGATTGAGCACACTCTGGGTACCAAAGTCGGCGATCAATTTGTTCGAGGAGTTTCAGGGGGTGAAAAAAAACGAGTCAGCATAGCCGAGGGTGCGCTCCCTATCTTTGAGGTGTGAATCTTGTCACTGACTTGATGCAGCTATGATTACCAGAGCTTCGGTTCAGGGCTGGGACAACTCCAGTCGAGGTTTAGATGCGAGCACCGCTCTTGAATACGTCCAGTGTATTCGCACACTTACCAATATGGCACGTACTTCCACAGCGGTGTCCCTATATCAAGCCGGAGAGTCTTTGTACCAACTTGTGGACAAGGTCCTGCTGCTTCACGAAGGACAGTGTCTGTATTTCGGGTCTGCTGATGACGCCAAAGAATACTTCATCAACCTTGGTTTCGAATGCAAACCACGCTGGACGACGTCTGATTTCTTGACCTCGGTCACCGATCCGCATGCCAGAGCTGTCAGGAAAGGGTGGGAAGATCGAATCCCACGCGATGCAAACGAATTCGCCGCTCTCTACCGCAAATCCGAGGTCTATCAACGCAATCTCCAAGATATAGGCGAGTTTGAAGCACAGTCAAAGGAACAACGGGAATCTCGTGAGCAGAAAGTCTCGAAGCATGAGAAGAAGAACTATGCCATTCCTTTTCACAAGCAAGTGCTCGCGTGTACACAGCGACAGTTCTTGGTCATGCTGGGCGACCGAGCTTCGTTGATTGGGAAGTGGGGAGGTATTGTATTTCAGGTATGTACACCCACGGCAACCTCCATTTCAAGCCAAGTGGGCTGCTAACGATAGTACAGGGACTGATCGTGGGAAGCTTGTTCTTCCAGATGCCGGAAACAACTGCTGGTGCCTTTCCCAGGGGTGGAGCCATTTTCTTCGTCCTTCTTTTCAATGCTCTGCTGGCTTTGGCAGAAATGACTGCTGCTTTCACTTCGAAACCGATCCTTCTGAAGCACAAATCTTTCTCCTTCTACCGTCCTGCAGCATACGCCTTTGCACAAACAGTCGTTGACATACCCTTGATAGCCATCCAGGTCCTCCTTTTCAACATCATCATATACTGGATGGCTGGGCTTGCTGCTTCTGCTTCTCAGTTCTTTATCTCCTGTTTCATCATCTGGACTGTCACGATGGTCACCTACGCTTACTTCCGTATGATCTCCGCTCTCTGCAAGACTCTAGACGATGCTACGCGATTTACCGGCGTCTCGATCCAAATATTAGTCGTGTATACGGGCTACCTCATTCGTAGGTCACTCTGTCGAATGTGCTCACAGTTACTAATGGTCTCATAGCACCCGATCAAATGCGTGTCTGGTTCAGCTGGCTTCGACGAATCAACTGGATACAGTATGGGTTCGAATGCCTCATGGCAAATGAATTTACTGGTCTGATTATGGAATGCGTACCTCCGTATTTGGTCCCTCAAGGGCCGAATGCACGGCCTCAGTATCAGTCATGCACATTAGCTGGCAGTGAACCGGGTCAAACTACGGTGAATGGAGCTCGATACATCCAACAGGCTTTTGGATATACCCGGTCTCATCTCTGGCGCAATTTCGGCTTTCTATGGGCTTTCTTCGCATTTTTCCTTGCAGTGGCCGCTTACGGCATGGAGAGAATGAAGCCCAACGCGGGTGGCGGTGCGATTACTGTCTTCAAGCGTGGTCAAGTTCCCAAGCGAGTGGAACAGACCATTGAAACAGGCGGCCGAGACAAGAACTCTAGAGGGGACGAGGAGTCCGGTGTTTCGCCTCCTGCAAATCTTGTCGAGAAGGTTCTCACTCCTGGTAGTCAAAGCACCGAGTCTACGAGCATAACGCAGGACAATACTCTGCTGGAACATGTGGCCAAGAACGAGACGGTCTACACCTTCCGTGACATCAATTACACGATCCCATACGAGAAGAGTCAGAGGAAGCTTCTCCAGAATGTCCAAGGATATGTTCGCCCAGGCAAACTCACCGCCCTGATGGGTGCCAGTGGTGCTGGAAAGACGACACTGCTGAATGCTCTTGCTCAGCGCATTAACTTCGGTACTGTCACAGGCGAATTTCTAGTCGACGGGCGGCCGCTGCCCAGGTCTTTCCAGCGTGCTACAGGATTTGCCGAACAGATGGACATTCACGAACCGACCTCGACAGTAAGAGAAGCACTTCAATTTTCGGCTCTACTCCGTCAGCCCAAAGAGGTACCGGTCAAGGAGAAGTACGCGTACTGTGAGACAATCATCGATCTGCTTGAAATGCGAGACATTGCCGGAGCGACGATCGGAACAGTTGGCGAGGGCCTGAACCAGGAACAGAGGAAGAGGCTCACGATCGGCGTCGAGCTAGCTAGTAAACCCGAGCTTCTCATGTTCCTGGATGAACCGACTTCAGGCCTTGACTCTGGCGCAGCATTCAACATTGTGAGATTCTTGAGGAAGCTGGCAGATGCCGGCCAAGCTATTCTCTGCACGATCCATCAGCCGTCGGCCGTGCTATTCGAACATTTCGACGAGCTACTCCTGCTCAAATCTGGCGGGCGGGTTGTATATCACGGCCCTCTTGGCCATGATTCACAAGAGCTCATTCATTACTTTGAGAACAATGGAGCGCGAAAATGTCCTCCAGATGCCAATCCTGCAGAGTACATGCTCGAAGTGATTGGTGCAGGTGACCCCAACTATAAAGGCAAAGACTGGGGTGATGTTTGGGAACAAAGCACCAACTACCGAGCTCGATCTGACGAGATCTCCGAAATGATCGAACGCAGGAAGAATGTGGAACATAGCAAGAATGTCAGGGACGACAGAGAATACGCCATGCCGCTCCGGACACAGACTACAGCGGTAGTCAAGAGGTCGTTCGTTGCATACTGGGTAGGTATACACGTCTCTCGAACTCCATGCATCCTTTGACTGACATCCTTGTAGCGAACGCCCAACTATATTCTCGGCAAATTCATCCTGCATATCATGACTGGCTTGTTCACTACCTTCACCTTCTACCACCTTGGCTTTGCCTCTATCGACATGCAATCACGTCTCTTCGCTGTTTTCCTGGTGCTCACAATCTCTCCACCACTCATCCAGCAATTACAACCTGTTTTCATTCATTCTCGGGACACGTTCCAATCACGAGAGAACAAGGCAAAGATTTACAGCTGGTTTGCCTGGACGACGGGTGCTGTACTCGCTGAAATTCCTTATTCGCTAGTCGCCGGAGCTATCTTTTACTGTTGTTGGTGGTTTGGAATCGCCGGATATCGTTCCTCCACCTCGTCTTTCACCTCAGGATTCCTCTTGCTCTGTATACTCCTCTTCGAGTTATACTATATCAGCTTCGGCCAGGCTATCGCCTCGTTTGCGCCAAACGAATTGCTCGCGAGTCTATTGGTCCCAGTATTCTTCCTGTTTGTCGTGAGTTTCTGTGGTGTCGTGGTCCCACCGCAGCAGCTGCCAGAATTCTGGCGGAGTTGGTGAGTTACTTTTTTGGCAGAAGCACATTTCTGCCACCCTTTCCTCTAAAGTACAATGAGGGCTTTGCTGATAATTGTCAGGATGTATTGGCTGACGCCCTTCCACTATCTTCTTGAGGCTATGCTCGGGGTAAGCTGTGAGCTCCGTCTGAAACTCTGCAAGTTATACTGATGAATATTTGTAGGTAATCATTCACAATCAACCCGTTCGCTGTAACCGGGGAGAGTTTGCTCGATTCGTAAGTCGATCTATGTCATATCAAGTGGTCGTGAGGCTAATACCCTGGTCTAGAGTGCACCGCCTGGCTATACGTGTCAATCCTATACACAACAATATATTGCTCAAGCTGGCGGCTATGTCCAGGTCGGAGCAGATGGTCTTTGCGAGTTCTGCCAGTATGAGACTGGGGACCAATTTGGACACGGGTTTTCGGTCTATTACTCTCACCGTTGGCGCGACTTTGGAATTTTCATCGGGTTCATCATGTTCAACTATGCCGTGGTTTACACCATGACCTTCCTAAGGTTCAAGGCAAAGAATCCGTTCAAGATGCTATTGAGGAAAGGGAAACAAATGGACGCGTAAAGATATCGATGTTCTACGCGGTCTACATTAGAGGATAGAGTGTGGGAAGACTACACGGCTTGCTGGGTTAGTAATCACTGTGTTATACATTCTTGTATTCAATCCAACTATCATTGGTATTGTTCAAATCGGCGCTAGCAACCAAACTAAATCCAGTCTATTGGAGATTGAACCATCATGAACCGCCAGCCGTGGGAGTCGCTCCACGGATAGTGATGGGAATGACCTGAAGACCTGTTCCTGACGCAAAATGTGGATTGGATTTTGAGGACGAGGACGAGGAAGACTTTGCCGGCTGGGCCTTTGAGGTGGTTTCTTTGGGTGGTTTCTTTGTGGTTGTCGACAACGAAGGTTTCGGACTGGGTTTGGATGGCGGTGGCGTCGTCTTCGGTGTCGGTGTCGGCTTCGACGATGGATGGATTGCCGTGGCCATCATCGACGCCACTGTCTTCATGAACGCAAGGGTATCTTGGGCTGCCGCTGCCGCTGTGGTGGAGGAAGAAGCTGGTGGTGGTGGCGTGTTCTTACCACCACCACCACCATCCCCAAAGGCACCACACCGTGTATCACCCACCGCCAGGGGCTGGATGACGCCCGTGAGAGATGCGTCGCAGATTGCAAATGTCGATTCGGACGCACAGACGATCTGGCCCGCGTAGGAACATTGCCCTTTCGCCAGGTACTTTACGTCCGAGGGGGACGGGTAGCCCGTGGAGAGGGTGGTGTAGGAGAGGAAGAGGAGGAGGGTGGTGAAGGAGGAAGAGAGCATTGTCGTCTTCGTCATGGTCATAGTTTTCTGTTGGGCTTTCGACTTTTCTGTAGGAGATTGCCAGCAAGGTATCGTTTGATAGAGAAGGTGTAGATTTGATCTGTGATCGAATTGAGTAGGTGGTATAGGAGGGGTATGTATGTGCCTGGTATGTATATTCCTTTGGAGGGAAAATTGGTCAAGAACACAATAAAAAGACAGCATTTCAGGTCTTCATAGTCTCGAGTCTGCGCTGTTTCTTTTGTCAAGTTGATAATAATTGATGGTCTCTTATTCGCCTTTGTTTACTTTATTGGTAATATGGGGCATATTCCAATCCGATTGACGATTGACTGGTCTTGAACAATGATTGCTTTGTCTGGAAATGTATTCTTAGGCGCACTTTTAACAAATGACGAACCGAGGCTGGCCCCGAAAAGGGGGGTTTCTGCCTCAGATATGTAATACGCCACCACGGCTTCAGATGGATTGCGTACAAGTCCACCAGAACCGAGAAAGCGACTACCTGGTTTATTCTGAGAGTCCCGAGTCTGGCTTCACATGTTTGTCTCAGCAAAGACATATATCTGCTCAGGTTGATTTTGAACCCAGTGTGCCTCGAGTCATGACAGTTGGAGACATGCGGTTGGCCCACGGTGGGTGATGTGAACTGGTGGTCCATCCACCCTGAGGTCGAAATCTGCCGATTGGATCTCCTGGCCAGTCGTTGTCTCAAAACATACTACCGTCACTTTAGAGGTGGCTATTGTCAGAATTGGATAGACTTGACCATGTGCTTTAGGTCAACTTATCCATAGACCCACTTAGACTCTCTGCGTCTCATCCGTCTTGACACTTTCCCTTTCCCTATCCTTCTGGACGTAAGATTCCGTCTTTTTGGCTGCCATCTCGTCGATGAGAGGGTGATTGTTGAGTGCGGCCGCTGCAGCTGCTTGTCCAGCCTCAACCCTGCTGGGTCCCTTTCCACTGCCAAGGTACTGGTTATCCCATCCCCAACCAGTCACGTATACTCCAATAAAGTATGTCTCTTTGCCCTGGCCGTAGTGAACAACGGGTTCCCTTTCGTCGACATAATTGATCTTCACACCCTTTGTGAGGATCTTTTTGGCTAGCTCCTCTTTACTTTTCTTGGTCACGCCGTCGTTGGCAGCGAGTGCTACCTGCAATTTAGGTTCCCACAACTGTTGAAGCCATTTCTTGGCCTGCTTTCCCTCGTCTGCGTCAGTCAAAATCACGGCAGCGACATAAGCCTCAAAAACGTCTCCTTTAATCTTGAACCATGCATGCGCCGCCTGATTTTGGAATTGCTTGTAGCTTTGTATTTGCTTATCAAGTCCGTAGAGGCTGGCATACTGGCCGATAGTCTCGTTTCGGACTAGAGACTCTCGTATCTGAGACATCTTCCCTGGATCTAGATTTGGGAATCGGTCAAAGATCAACTGTGTAGCAAAGAGTTCGAGGTAGGCGTCCCCTAGGAATTCAAGTCTGTCGTAGCTCGCATGGACATTGCCGGGCGCATGGCTGGGGTGTGTGAAGACAACGGCTCGATATTTGTCATGGATCTGAGGCAAAGGAGGAAGTCCATTATTGATGGACGTCTCAAGGCTGGATTGTCTTGGTTGTTTCAGTGTTTCTCGAGAGGGTTTCCTGGGGCGGTGGTTATGGTCGTCCTGGAACTTGCGCTTTCTGTCGAATTCCGGCATTATCTGGGGAATGACTAGAAACTATGTATCCTTATGGCCCAAAAGACAGCAGGAACTCCATGCGAGCAATGGATGGGCAAACAAACGGTATATTTGTGAGGCAGAAACTTGAAGACGAGGATCCCAGTCGTCTACCACTACAAAAAGGGAAAGTGGAAGCGAGTTGAATCTTTCGAAGGCAGCTTGTGCCGGGCGCATTCCGCAGCCTCAATTATCTGGTTCTTTCAATGATTTCTACGTTGTCTCCCACAGAACATTCAAATCTACCAATTCCTCCTTTGTATTGCATTGCAATGGCTTCTCCGTCGAGAGGTCGGCTATTACAGCTGATGCAGGTATGACTGAATCTCACGACTCGTTTCATCCCTGTCCGAATGTGCAACCACGTCCCTCGCTGTCACCATCATCTCCATGTGAGCACTGGCTAACAACCATACTTCTGCAGCTTCAATGCTCAATCTTCTCTACTACCTTCAACCCGATGCAGCAAAGATTAGGCAACAAAGTCCTCCGGCAGAGATTAAAAGGCCCAGCGTTAGCCTCGTACTACCCCAGGCGATCGGCCACCGTGGAAGACGTTCTGGACGAATTCAAAAAGTTTGACCTAGAAGGCTTCAACGAAGAGGAGGACGACAGGTTGGAAAATGTGGCCTTTGCTAAGTTACGAGGGAAGGGTGCGCCCAAAAAGAAGAGGTCGGCAGCAGGTATGGTGTTCAACGTCGCTGGGAGCCAGCAAGAAGCTAATATATCTGGCAGAGGGACGCGCCAACAAAAAGAGGAAATAACCTTAGCTGAACACAGCCCTGTATTGCTATATATCAACACTGAGATACCCAACCTGGACTTGATACACGTTCGATTTTTGACCGTCCTACCCTTCCTCGCTTGGTTTGTTAGCATATCATTCCAGTCAATGCTTCTGTACTGAGCTTTTCTGGCGGTGTTGCAGAACCCCGTGTATTCTCCTAGCGGCAATATATGTCGTCCATCTGCAAAGGGCAATCCTGTTCGGAATCATTTCAGCCTCGAGTTGATCCGTTCCACCGGCGACCGAAGTCGGCATTCTCGGGACTGGACGTCGAGATCGGCCGAGCCTGTCGCTACAATGACTGGTGACCTGCAGCCCCATCTAGCGCTATTAGAAATTGTGTGTACCAAATTCGAGAGGACGGGGTATTACCGGGCATCCCGGTTCTCGAGAGCGAACGAAACCCGGCCAGCGTCAACCGTTATTCGCCAGGAAAGATTTCGAGATACCATCTCCGCATGCACATCCATGCTTCTTCCCCGCAAGGTTCTTCCGCACCCCCTTAGCCACGGACAACCTTACCCCTCTGTTGCGTCGTGCCTGTTGGTCATTCATCATGGTCCTCAGAATTTTTCCCATTGTTTGGATGACTGCGGGGCATAGAGGTGGTCCAATGGCATATATATCTTTCACGCTCGACTTCCGGTGGCAGCGCACCTTAGCTGCCATTTCTTCCCTCTCGTTCTTCTCCGTCCCACCTGCTGTGCACTGCTCTCATCTGATTGATTCCCTCGCCCTCTCAGATTAACAATTTTCACCATGTCAGGTCTCCATGAGGTCCAAACAGGCTCCGGCAAGCTAGCCAACAAGGTGGCCATTGTCACGGGTAAGTACCCTCGGGCGTCAATGCTTCTCGGTCTGCTTGAAAATGGAAGATGGCCAAAACATCGCAAGAATTTCCGAAGAAGTAACTCGACATCACGTCGTTATGCCTGACATTTCTGCTTCCTAGGTGCCGCCTCAGGCTTTGGTCTAGCTTGTGTCCGGAAATTTATCGATGAAGGCGCCAAAGTCGTCGCCGCGGACATGAACGAGGCAGGTCTCCAGAAAGCCTTCGCCAGTGCCGCTGGCAGCCACATTGCCACTGTCACCGCCAACGTCACATCGTCGAGTGACTGGAGCAAAATGGTCGACATCGCAGTCTCCAAATTCGGTGGATTGGACATCGTGGTAAACAACGCCGGGACCTCGTACAAGAATAAGCCTACACTCGAAGTTACGGAGGAAGAGTACGACAGGGTCATGGCCGTGAATGTCAAGAGCATCTTTTTGAGCGTAGCAGCAGCGGTCCCTGCGCTGAAGAATCGGGGAGGGGGTTCTATCATCAACATTGCAAGTATTGGGGCCATGAGACCCAGGCCGGGGTTGGTGTGGTATAATGCGAGCAAGGGTGCTGTTGCAAATGTGAGTTTTCCCCTAGGTTCAGGCCATCTGAATACTTGGATCTGTCCCCCATCTCCTTATCTATCTAGCCTCTCATGGTGGAGTTGCTTCCTGACCGGCTGGGAGGGCGCTAATGAATTTCTTACAACGACGCAGGCCACAAAGGGTCTCGCCGCCGAATTCGGCAAGGACCAGATCCGTGTCAACGCTCTGTGCCCTCTCCTCTCCGGCACCGGCCTCTTCGAGTCCTTCGTGGGAGTCCCGTACAACGAGGACAACATGAAGAAGTTCCTGTTCAATGTCCCCTTGGGGAGACTGACGGACCCCTCGGACGTGGCGAACGTGGCGGCTTTCCTGTCCAGCGACGAGGGCAGGTTCATCACAGGAGTGAATTTGGAGGTTGATGGCGGCAGGGCGGTGGGCTCGTGAATACCCTGTGGACAGAAGAATATATTGGGGACGAGGTGTGGTGTAATCCAGACAGAGAGGGGAGGGGCGGAGGTTGGAGGAGTCGCCGGTGGCTGGTGGTTTGATATGAAAGTCTACAAGCTTGTGTTTGGACTCTTGAGTAGGAACATGGGCATGATATCGACTGGTGGATGATGTTGGTTTCCCCCTTCTCTTTGGGCTTCACCTTTGCTCGGTGGGAACCGTCATGATTTCCTGGAGTGGAGTGAAGGATCCTCTTTTCCTTTTCTTGAGGCGGGATGCCACAACTCCTTTTGCACAGACTCTTTGGATAGAGTCGGCGAGTCGGCGAGTCGGATACGAGAGACAGGGGCAGAGAGAGGGAGAGGGAGAAAGAGACAAAAAAAAGGAAACAAATACAAAAACAAGGAACAAGAACAAGCAGTGCTGTCCACGTATGCGTATGCATAGCTAAATGTCCGTCCCTGTTCCTCCAAAATTTCCCCTTTTTTTTGAACCAGTATCAGCTGGTATTGTGTCCCGAGTAACGAATCTTGAGCTGTAAATTGCTCCCATCCATCCATGCCTTGCCTTCCCAATCCCATGTCATACTTTTTTTGGTGCAACGCTATGATTCGAATTACACCTTGTGCCCGCTCAAATGGATTCTTTTTTTTCCCCACTCATAGCTTTTTCTGCCGGTAATGATAGGGGGGCTTGACAAGGAAGAAAATGACTGTGCCTCCGGGAACGGACTCGCCCTCCAAGGTATTTCCCTCTTTACCAGGCTGTCCTTGGTCGGGTACACCAGGTTTGTTTGTGGATTGACCTTCCAACCAGGGAAAATCCACTAAAATGCCGCTCTCCCAATCCCATCGTCGCCTTCCATCAGCTGCTGCAAATGCTGTTCTGCGAGGTCACTGCGTAGAGAGTCTCTCTCACTCTCTCGTTCTCTGACGTCCCATTCATTCAGCACCTCGCGCTTAAGTTTCTGCTTCTCCGCAATCTCAGTCCGCATTCGTTCGGCTTCTGCCTCAAGCATCTTGATCCGCTTTTCCTGGTCAGGGGGTAGACCGGAAGGGAGCAATTTGCCCCCAGGAACAATTTTCTCGTTAGTAGCGAGATGTTGTTGAACGGAGTTAAAACGCTGTGTGCGAGGGTACGTCATGCTGGAACTGTTGTTGCCTCTGAATGGGAATGTGGGTTCTCCTCCGACAGAACCGCCGCGTCCAAATCCGCCGCGGTAGCTGGACCCTCCACTGTATTCAGCACGGTTGCTTGAGCTAAAGTCACTTCCACGTCCGTAAGAGCCTCCTCTTGGTCCGTAGGGCGCGGGCCCCCTGAATGGTAAGCCGCTTCGACCACGCACCGGGGGAGCCGAGAAATCTCGAGAAGGTGGACCGTCGAATCTACCAACAGAGCCACGGGGTCTGGTAGGAGCGTTCAGGGCAGACGCGCCTCCACCACGATTGTGAGCGGATATTGACATCGATGCTGCAGGGCCAGTGGGTGGCGATTGTATGGGTTGACTGAAACTACGTGATGGACCGGTGGGCGGCGGTCTCTCGTACGTGCCGTTTCGATAGCTGCTGGGACCAGAGGGCGGTTGTCGGGTTCCGCCGTTCGCGTGTACCTCGTCCCGCGGTGTGCTCACATCAGTTTCCCGGGGGCGCGGTTCTCCACCTGTAGCTGAAGTTGCAGCAGGTGATCTGCCTCGAAAGCTGGCTGCGTCGGCACTGTCATATTGATCTCGAGTGAGATGTGGGGGTGATCTTGGTTGAGAACCTGTCAAGCTCGCGCGGTCCGGATGAACAGGAGGAGATGACCTTCGCGAAGTGTTGTGTGATGCTGGGCCAGAATCTCTCGGCGAAAGAGACCGTCTCACCCAGTTGTCGTGTTGCCTTCGGCGCGGCGGCGTTCTTGACCTGGGTCTGTAACTCTCACCCCCTCTAGGTGAATTTCTGACAGGGGACCGTTCGCGGTCGAAACGATTTCGTTCGGGGGAATTTCGACGTTCGCGTTTTGGTGAGCGTCGCGCAGGGTCAGGAGAAAACTCTCTGTACCTCTTTGTGTCCGGGGGACTTCGTGTCCTCGCACCAGGCGGTGACCTAGATCTCCTCCTTGGTGGCGATCTTCGTGGAGAGTAACGGCGGATGGGTGAACGTCTATTGGCAAATAAATCTTCTCTTCTATTCGGCGGGGTTCGTGAGCGTCGTCGAAAGGCTGGGGATCGAGTTCGTGGCCTTGTAGCCCTTGCACTCGTGTTTGGCACGTAAGAGTCAATGTCATCTCTTCTTTCCTCCCGTCGTCCGTCTCTTCTGTCGGCGGTCCACGAGTCTGCAGCAAACCGGTCCCGGTCACGTTCCCGATCGCGGTTCGGAGGTCTGTATGAATTGTCACCTCCTGCGCCACCGGGCCTGTAGCTTTCTCCCTCGCCAAAATACTCGACATCTGGGTGCGAATCTCGTTCTCGATGTCCTCTATCTCGGGGTGCGGGCGACCGCCGTGGCCTAGCATGGGTCAGTCATCTCGACGAAGATCAGGACTGCGGAGAACATTACCCCCGGTAGCGGTCCATGAGGACTATCAGTAGAGATGTCCGCAGCAAGTTATCGTGGTATGCCGCGACATGAAGTTCATCTCATTTGGAACTGGCGGTAGAAAGTATCCCACATAATGTGTTGCGGCTTGACAGATGCGCGAGGAGCTTCCTCGAGGCAGATTCACTGTCTGGGGTGCATCCAGGCTCACCAGGACCAGAAATTATATGCCAAGCTTTCAGCCTCGCTTGCACAAGGCTTTGGCAGTCGTGGCAGTATCCTTCAATGTTGGTTTATTGTGCCTCATGCGTAGAGTCCAAGAGTATTCGTGGCCCACGACGTAAAATATCTACAGAGTCCAACCGAATGGTTACATAACTCTTGTTTATCACGCAGTACAGGCCCCACGAGTACACGGCGGAGCCAGTGACAGTATTTGACGAGGTATCTGGTTATAGCGGTGTACCTATCCTGTCCACAAACAGCACAAATTTTCTACCGAGCAGAGGAATCAATCAGGACACGCCAGGTTGGTAGGTGTCAAGAATCCTTATCTGGTGCGGCTGATCTCCAGGAGAGACCGAAATGTACAGCCCATCGACCATCTGTGGCTCCGATCGACGGTATTTCCACTTTGGAGTTGAAGTCCTAGATAATGACCAACAGCAAGTCCTCAGCTCATGGTGCAAGATATGCTGAACCATATGTTCCTGGCTTGATTGATCGAAGGAGCTTCTTTGGCTTCTAGGCGTGGTAGAATAGCAACAAGGCGACTCGCCTGCGACAGAAAAAGAGCATACTCTGAGTGTGTTATGGCCTTTGCCAAGGTCCAAGCCAGAGCTTTAGGCAGTATTGAGATCCTGTTGCTTTTTCGTGCAAAGGTCGTCTAACCTGCCAAAGTCAAACACCCTGCTCTGCCATGTTTGCCTAAATGAAGGCGGGAGGACAGTCACTGCTCTCTCCCGGACGCGCTGGACCTCAGTAATCCAGGCTAGCCTCTTGCAGCGAGGCGCTTGGAAAGAGCGCGCAAGCAATTTGTTCCTCGGAGTGCTCCGCTGCCAAAGCAGCTATGAAGCGACAGCGGTGTCTCAGAATTGGCGTTGCTCAAGCGCCACGTTGCAAGTTGCCTTGATGGATGGCATCTGAGAGCAACTTGTTGACAGGAGCGCGAACCGCACCGGCCTTCCATTACCAACACCGAAGTATTGTCTCATGCTTTGATACAAAAAACACCTGGCGAAAATTGGTTGGCGGCGTATTTGCCCTCGAATCATCTCTTCCCCTTCCTTTCTTCATCCCGCTTCTGCCTCTTCCTAAGTTCCGACGCAATCATCTCAGACAAGTCCTCTTGGAAATCCCAATTAGGATTCTGATCTGCTTTACGACCTTGCTCATATGCGCGTCGCAGGTCTTCTTTATCCATCCCATCATGTGCAGCAAGAGCATCCGGGTCCATCGACACATCCACATCCCCGGGCCTCTTCCGTTTGCGGGACGCGTCATCTTGTCCCAGGACGGGCACACCGGACGCAGAGTGTTGTTGAGCGGCCTTGAGGTCGTAGACACGGTCACCTCCGAAGAAGCCCTCAACACGAGTTTGGCGTTCTGGAATGACTTGGTAGGCTGATCGTGGATGAGACGATTCTTCAGTTTCCGTGCCTCGACGTTTCCGCAAGTCAAATTCAGAGACGGTTTCCGTGCCGCCAATTTCCGTGGGCACGGCGGAGGTCATGCCACTAGGTGTCTCCATACCGGTTGAAGCGTCTAGCCCAGCAACACCCTCCTCTTCCTCTTCCTCTTCATCCTCGTCTTCCTCTTCTTCTTCGGACTCTTCTTGTTCTTGCAATTCGCCCCAGAGTTCTTTCTCAACAGGCTCGCCTTGTTGAGCGTTCTGTGTCTGCTGTAGGACACCGAAGATATCACCACCATAGAGAGGTCTATTCGTTGCTTCATCCACAGGCGGTTTGCCCCATTGGCCCGGTGCAAACCCCCAGCTTGCACCCGGTGGGGGAGGAGCATTAACGCCGGGTACCTTGAGAGCTGGATACGATGGAGGTGGCCCGTATCTCTGCATATTGATCAGCCACGGAGGAGGTGCGCCGGGGGGCATGTTCAGCGCCTCCTTCAGTTCGTCAGATAGCTCCCCAGGTCGCAAGTGCCGTAGGTTCGTTTCAAACTCTTTGCCCTCATAATACACTTCACCATACCTCGTCAACTCTGGTTTCGTTTGGAACCTGAAGAACGCATCGTAAAGTTTCTGGTAATCAATATCGAGTTTTCCGGTCTTTCCCTGTACGCGCTCGCGTTGCTTCTGCTTCAGCGTGGCGTTTTCCTGCTTCTCCAAAATCGCGTCTCGCATCTCTGCGATGCCTGTTTCTTGGATGAATTTCGGTAGCGAGAACGGTGGCTTCTCAATCCCGCGTTTCGAAGATAGATATTCTCTCTTGAGCGACCAGTGACTCGGTACTGGGACAACGTTTCGATATGACTTGATATGGACTAACAACCTGGGATCGGGCGCTGAGGTGTCTGTCCATTCCACCATTTCAGGCCTCTTCACAAGCGCCTTCAGTTCTGCCACGGACAACTTTGTCATCTCTTTCCTCTTTTTCTTGGAAATCTTTGGCGCCGCGTTTTCTTCGTCCTCGTCTGGAATATCGTCGTCGTCATCATAGTACACTTCTGGCTTCTCTGGTTCCTTTAATGCGGGATCTCCTTTATCTGCCTCCTCGAATTTTTCCATCACGTTCTTGTACATATCATATAAAGGATTCTCCTCGTCGACAATGAGTGGGTCTGCGAGGGGGTCGTCATAGTGCGCATCTTCGGACTTGATCTTTCCACCTTTCGACGCTGCAGATTGTTCTTGTTCAGCTTCGACTTTGGGGGATGTTCCATATGTAACTGTATCTTCTGGGACTGGTTCCGCGCCAGTCTGCGTGCCGTCAGAATTAGAAGACAGGTGGTAAGATGGAACGTATACCTTTTTCTTCTCCTTCTCAGCCTTCTTCTTTGCTCGCTTTAGCTGATTTTTGGTAGGCTTCACAGCGGCAGCCATGATCAAGTGCTTCTCTCCAGCTGACTCTGAAATTCAGAACAAGTCACAGTAATGCTGCGACAGACGCAGATGAAAGCGTGATGGCAGGTTGTATTACAAGGAAGCAGGTAGTCACAGCGGCGTTTTCCACATGTGCCTCGACTCACAAGGATGCATCAGGAAGTGCAATAGCTGCAAATATGCCAAGGATTAGAAATTCGTCCAATTATGCCGTTGACACCAAGTATCGCGAGGGCATAAGGCTACTTACTACAAGGCTGAGGATCTCACTATCCTTTTCGCCCTCATTTATGTATCGATCATTTATATCTTTCGAGTGTCATCAAATTGTGCACCTTTCCTCGTGTTGCTTTCCCATCCAAGCTTCTACTAATTCTTCGTCCACAGCCTCGGGTCTTTTACTGACAATCTCTCTGTCCCAATCCAGCCACTCCCCCGCCATCGCATTGCCAATATTCGACCTCAAAACACCCACGCTCAAATCAATGATATAAGGCCTCTCAAAACTCTGGTAGAACAACGTTGCCCCACAAACGGAGCAGAAACTCCGTATCACAAACTCTGAGGACTGATAGTGTTTGAGTTTTACGACTTGGACCGTCTCTTTGATCTTGGGCCCGAAGACGATCGGCTCGTTCTTCACAGTAAAGAACTGTGATGGAGGAATGTACGCCCACGGTTGCAGCGCGAAGCCCAAGGTCAGGCGGCAAGAGCGACAACAGCAGAGGCGGGCGTAGTATTTGCTGCGGTCCTTTTTAGGCACATACCATCCTTCACTGCTGGCATTATATGGCGGTGGCGCGATCAGAAGTTGACACTCTCCACATTGACAAGAGACATTTAGCATTTTCCCTCTGTCAGGGGCGGAGGATGGTTGAGTAAGCGATGTCTTCTGGTATCGCAAAAGGTCACTCTCCTCTAAGGGACCTTCAGTTTGGAAGTCCGGCTCGGTCCTATAGCATGGAATATCCCGTCCGCCTAGTTTGGTGAGAAAGGGCGCGATGCCACCATCGTTTGAGTCGCCCAAATACCAGTGGCACATGACCTTTGTGGTGTTTCTTTGCCCTTTCATCTGACTCGATTCATTCTTTTCTTTCTCGCTTCTCTCTAGGATTCCCGAGCAAGCTATCCACACCCCGTCCCTTTCCGAACGAACAAAGACATTGCACCCGCATTTCCGACAGAAAAACCGAGTGAATTTCTCGGAAGACTTGTAGGCAGTAGTGCAACTGAGTGATTCCTCACTGGGCGAGCCATTGAGTGGCAGATAGCATACACCCAGGGCTCCTGTGGTATGCCGGCATATGTTGCAGTGGCACATAATGCATTCATTTGGCATGGCTGAATTAGCCAGCAATGAAGAGGGTTCGCAGACAGAACCGCAGTAGCATCTAAGGCTTGACTGTGAGGACATTTTGAGGGATGACTGTATTGACAGGCCGATGTGTCGATATAATATGTCGATATGGCGAAGGAAATAGGTCTAAGGAGAGAGGTTAGCCAACTCTTATACAAGATAGTTGTTCAGCTCCTCCATAACAGGATGTATTCTCAGGCGACGGTATTGATGAGAAACAAATACCCATCTGAGAAACCCAGCCGGTGTACTTTGGCGCCTCTGCAGTAGCAGAACCTACTTGCCGGTTGATCGTCAAGAGCCCCAGCGTTAAATACGCTCGTGACAGTAATCATGGCAATTGGATTGTGGGGCTGCTGAAGTGGGAAATGGTCCAAAATGTTTGGAAACGAGAGCTAGATGTGGCGCCTGCGCACATAGTGTCGTTGATTGGATCGGGCGTATAAATGAACCAAAGAAGCACTTAAGGTTGTGTTCATATGTTGCTGTCACTGATGAGATGTTTCGAGCGGTTGGACGGCCAAGATACAGAGATCGATTAACACAATGTTCTGCTAACATGTGCGTATTTCTGCCGTTTGGCTCTAGCATTACATACACAGCTGCGCCTCCCAGTATGGCGG